CAGCTCCTCTGGGATCACCTGCAGCTGCCATAGTTGTGTTTGTCTCTCTCTTCCTTTTTCTCTAGCTGGTTTGCAGAATGGAGGAGCCACTGTCAATGGAGATGTCTTTCAGGTGAGAGCTCAGCCCCTTGCCCTGGCCTAGTGGTACTAAGTGGGATTGGGTGGATATGGGGCAAGCACTCTGCTGCTCTGCCCCCGAGATTGACTGGAGTTTGCTGTCCAGCCCCAGAACAGCTATGGTGCTCCTGGAAAGGTCCGGGTCTCAAGGGGGAGTCCTGACTGCTCCATTCTTACCCTTCTTTGAAGAGAAGATTGCTCCTGCCTGCCATGACTTGCCCCAAATCTGTTTGCAAGTGGCCTGTGCCCTGAGGGAGTTCCTGGGCCCTAAGAGCAGGTGACAAATCCTCCATTCCCACAGAAGCCCCTCTCTCCAGGTTGAGTTGCTCCCGGAGGCATCCAGGGCAGTCAGGAGCATCTCTTGGCAGAGGCCAGAGCCACGACAGGGCTGCTACAGGACACTCACTTTGCTGTGGCCTTGCTGCCAAGTCCTGGCAGCATCTCCCACTAAACTCACTTTCCCCATGGCCAAGGGTATTTTGTGGGGCCCTGCCTGGGTCTCAGCTCCCTCTGCGAGCCCAAAGCCCAACTCTGCTGGCTACAGAAGAACCTGCACCAGCATCTGACAAACCCTTCACACCACTCAGCACCCAGCAGAGTGGCATGTGCATAGCCCGTGCCTAGTTTACCGGATGATAATCACATTAGAGACGAGGCAGACTTAATTAGATGTGGGATCTCAGAGGAGAGCTGTAATCCCATTGCTGAGCTCGGTGTCAGGCTGGGCATCCTGGCCAGCAGAAGGTGTTAGGAGAGATGCTGAGCCAGTGTGGTGCTGGGCCTGAGTGGTGGTTTAACCCCAGCTGGCAACTAAGCTGCTCGCTTACCGCCCCCCACGGCGGGATGGGGGAGAGAATCAGAAAAGACAGACAACTCGTGGGTTGAGATGAAGACAGTTTAATAGGGAAAGCAAAAGCCATGCACCCAAGCAAAGCAAAACAAGGAATTCCTTCACTGCTTCCCATGGGCAGGCAGGTGTTCAGCCATCTCCAGGAGAGCAGAGCTCTGTCATGCGTAATGGTTACTTGGGAAGACAAACGTCATCACTCCGAACATCTCCCCCTTCCTCCTCCTTCCCCCAGCTTTACATGCTGAGTATGACGCCATGTGGGATGGAATATCCCTGTGGTCAGTTGGGGTCAGCTGTCTCAGCTGTGTCCCTTCCCAGCTCCTTGTGCACCCCCAGCCTGCTTGCTGGTGGGGTGGGGTGAGAAGCAGAAAAGGCCTTGATGCTGTGTAAACGCTGCTCAGCAGTAACGAAAACTTCCCTGGATTATCAATGCTGTTCCCAGCACAAATCCAAAACATAGTGCCATAGTAGATATTACGAAGAAAGTTATCGCTGTCCGAGCCAAAACCAGCACAGCCTGGTGGGAGCCATACAGGCGGCTCAGCTTGGAGGGGCGAGGGAGGCTCTTTCCTGCAGGCTCGTGTCCAGGCAGAGCGCGGTGCCTCCCCTGGGCCCTGCCTCTTGCCTTGTTGTGGCCAAGCCTGTGATGATGCTCAGTCCTGAGGCTTTCTTTGCCCGAATCGGGCTGGGGAAGCGCAGTGCTGGTGGGGAGCATGTCACAAAGCCAGTGGCTGTCCTCTGCTGCGGAGCTGCCCAGAGGACATGAGAGATGTGTTGGCAGTGAGCAGCATGTCAAGGAGGGGAATGCTGGGAAGTCTTTCTGGGGTGGCAGGGCCTGGGGCTGGGAACTGGGACAGCTGCTTAAGTAGTGCTTTGGGGACGTGGTCCTACATGTCCTGGGCTGTCACTCTTCCTACCTCCTGTTTTGGCTCGTCGTGAGTGCTGGGAGCATGAAGTCCTGCCCTGCCTTCAAGGTGGCTGGTCTGGGCTGTGGGAGGAGCTGGTGCTGATGGTGAGGTGCTGATGTCCTGCAGGAGTCCAACGGTCCCACGGATGCCTACGCAGCCATAGCCAAGGCTGACCGTCTGACTCAGGAACCTGAGAGCATCCGCAAGTGGAGGGAGGAACAGAAGAAGCGCCTGGAGGAGCTGGGTGAGACCCAAGGGCGTATGTGGCCACACTCGTGGCACCTTGCAGCGCCGCAGTCGGGGCCCTTGGCATCCCTCATCTGGCAGTGACCCTGCTGCTTCCCAGAGAGGTGTCTTGTGCCCCATGCCATGTGGGTGCCTCTGCCAAAGATCTGTCCTTGAAGCAGTGATGCCTTTCGGACAGTACTAGTGGAGACTGGGGACAGGCCTGGGGGGCTGCAGCTGTCCTGCCTGCCCGAGGGGCTGCCCAGCAGACCCAGTGGGTGCCAGTCTGGCTGATGGAGTCTATCTCACTCTGGCCTTAGATGCGGCATCGCTATGGCGTGAGAAGGCCAAGAAGGACCTGGAGGAATGGAACCTGCGTCAGAATGAACAGATGGAGAAGAACCGGGCAAACAACAGGTATGTTGGGGTCAGCGTGGCCACAAGGGCTGCGATGGGAGCTGCTGTGCAGCCGGATCCACCTTCCTTGCATGTCTGGGGCCTCTGTCCCCACAGTGGGGCCCAGCCCTGTGGGGACAGAGCTTTGCCAGGCGAGGGGAGAGGCCTCAAGGCTTCAAGCGGCTCCAGTGGCTGCGCAGAGCTGCCCTGACTGGGACCACACTGGGATCACCCTGAGATTTCAGTGCCTCCTGCCCCCCATGTGGGTCTCGCATTGGGGCAGGGTTGGGGCACTGTCTGTGCAGCCCTGCCATCACCAGCAGGCTTTCCTGGTGCTGTGCGTGCTGTGAGGAGTGGGTCATGCTCTGTGGGAGGACGCTAACCCCCTCTCTGTTTCTTTCTTTCTAACCCTCTGCCTGCCTTCTCCTCTGCGTTCTGTCTCTCTCTGTGCCTCGGGGGCTAGGATCGCTGACAAAGCCTTTTACCAGCAGCCGGACGCCGATGTGATTGGCTATGTGTATGTGCCTCTTACAGACCGTATCCTGTCCTGCAGTGTCGGCAGGGCCCTGGCTCCAGCACTGGCTGCCCAGCCAAGGGGAGGGGGGATGTTGGGAGGTACTGGGCTTTGGTGAGGTCCCAGAGGGAGGGTGATGCAGCTGAGTGTCTCCAGATCTTGGAGTCTTCGGAGGCAAGTGAAATGCCCCTGTGGGGGCTGGTTGAAGAGGCAAAGCCGTGAGGTCTTGTGCCTTTTGAGGGACAGCTCTGGGGGTAGAGAAGTCTTGGGAGCAGGTAGACACCGCCATGGCCCTGGTTGAACAATGTCTTGGGTGGGGGCAGCCAACAGCAGCCTTAAGCATCATGTATCTCCGGAGTCTGGAGGATGCTGAGCTCATCGTCTGGAGCAAGGGGATGGGAAGCGGGGACATAGGGGTTCCCAGACAGAGGGGAGGGTCTCCTTGGAAAGAGTTCCAACAGTGACAACCCCTAATGTCTCTGCAGGGCCTCAGAGGAAGCATTCCTGAAGGAGTCCAAGGAGGAAACCCCGGGCTCTGAGTGGGAGAAGGTGGCCCAGCTCTGTGATTTCAACCCCAAAAGCAGCAAGCAGAGCAAGGATGTCTCGCGGATGCGCTCGGTGCTCATCTCCCTCAAACAGACGCCCCTGTCCCGCTAGCTGCTGCCTGGCACAGCCAGGAGCGCAGCAGGGCAAGGCTGGGCTCACCGAGCTGGGCGGCTTTACGGGGCCAGCCCAGGAGGGGCCTCACCCTGCCTGCTCCCTGGTGTGCGCCTCGACTGTGCTCGAATCACCGGTTGTAACTCTCCCCATGGTTTTCCTTTGCTTAAAAGGTGCATCAGTCTCTTTTTACACTTATTTATTACTGTGGCAATTCCCCGGGAATCGACACTGGGTGGCAGAGCTGAGTTAGTGGGGGAGCCCCTGGCCTGGGCTCTGCGGGAGGCTGTGGCCAGGGGCCTGGCTGAGTGAGAGGGGGAACACCCCACCCACTGTTCCCCAGCTCACCCCTACGCTGGGAATAAACCTGCCCGTGGCTGTCCTGGTGCTGGGCAGCTGCAGGCATGGCAGCCCCATGCCTGGGCTTGAGTCCTAGTGCCAAGGCAGTGGTCCTAGCAGGACCCCAGGCTAGGGGTATGTGTGCCCGCTGTGGCAGGGTGTGCCGTTCTGGAAGGGTTTAGAGCAGAGCCGGCTGCGAAGCTGGGATGGTGAAGGACCGGCTCTGACTTAGTTCTGCACTGCTAGGTCCTGCAGGGAGCATGGCTGCGGTGTGATGCTGCCGGGCTAGCGGAGGCTGAGGAATGTGAGTGCAGGCACCCACGCTGGGCCAGGACTGCCAGCAGTTGCCCTGAGCCCAGCAGAACTCTTCCCCAGCCTGGCTGTGCACCCCAAAAACCTGGTGAGGCTCCAAGGAGCAGTTGCAGTATCCATGTCCCATCTGTCCTGCGCGGCTGCTGGTGCCGGGCAACACAGTGGTGCAGGGCACTGGGAAGGGGCCATGGAGTGAGTGTGCAGTATGTTTTCTGTCCCTCCCCCAAGACCACCAGTGGTTTGGAAAGTGGAGTGCCAGGCTTCAGGGGCCCTTGGCTCTACTCTGCTCCTTCCCCTGCTACTAAGATGGGGGATAGAGGCTGTGTGGTTGCAGGGAAGGAGGCAGGAACGTCCAGCTGCTGTGGGGCAGGTTGAACCCCCAGCTTCCTAACCCAGGGGTCCAGAGCAGGATTGGGCAGAGTTCTGGTGCTGAGGCTTGTGCTGTCCCTGGAGACCAACCCACATATGTGTCTGCAGCTGCTCTGTGGCTTCTGGCCCCCACTGCATTTGCACGCCTAAGGCAGCATAGTGACATGCCTTAGTCCTGCTCCTCGCCCCACAGGGCACACGCTTTCCAGCCTGAACACCAGCTTTCTCTCCTCTGCTTGGTGGGGCCAGCACCAGTCCCTCCGGCTCTGAGGTCCAGCCCTGGAAACCTGCAAAACTCCCATGTGGCAGGAGAGGGGCAGGCCTGCGCACATCCTGCTGTGGGGCAGCCTGGAACTTGTGCCTCGGGTCTGGCCCATTGGCAGCTTGGGAAGGGCTTGCAGCAGTGAGCTGGGAGAACACGGGGCAGAACCCACAAAACATTTGCTTGAGCCTCACTGCAGAGCCCTGTTCAGTTGAATAGCAAGTATGCAGAGCTCTCCTGCCCTACAGCTGTGGCTCCACAAATCAGGAAGGTCATCTGCACCTCTGGCTCTGGGGCGCAGGCTCAGCAGCAGGCTGGGAAGGGAAGTGGGTGCGTAGGGAGTCACTTGGTGGTGTGTGCTGGGATTGTGCCCCTGTGTCTGTAGGGCTGATTGCTCCTACTGTGTCCCGCTGTGCTCCAGCATGCATAGGCAGCTCTGCTGTGCTGCGGGATGGATGCCGATGCAGGATACCTTGGGACTCGGCTGCCTGCCTCCACCTTTCACTGCAGAGCAGCAGGAAGCACCTCTGGTTGCTTCCCAGGGGCAGGGAGCCCCACTACGCTCTGGCCCTCCAGCTCCTGCAGGCAGCCAGGCCCCTGTGTGCCCCAGCTGCCGCATGCCCCGTGTCAGGCAGGGGCAGCCAGCTCCCGGGGAGCCGTGCCCACAGCTGTTCTACACCCTCTTGGCTTTGGTATCTGTGACTGTTCAAATTATCTGTTACAATAAACCGACATCTCCAACCCTACAGGGCACTGTCATCTTTCTGCTTCAGCAACACGTGTGTGAGTTCAGGAGAACCCACAGCTACAAAGTCTTCTGCAGAAAGAATGGTGCTGGAGGAGAACCATGGCCTATAGGAAAAAGCAGAAGCAGGGGGAAGGGCCAGAGGGTTTGTGCTTGGCTGAGGGGGAAGCAGGGGCAGCAGGACCAGGGGGCTCTGCTCCACCCCCAGGGAGCTGCGAGCTCCTGCTTGTCCAGATGGGCTGAGTTGCTCCCCAGCCCACTGCACCCGTCTCCCAGCTGCCAAGGGAATGTGCTCGCAGACCTGCCTACCGGCTGGCCCCCCTTTTTTTTCTGGAAGTGCCAGCCAGGCAGCCAAAGGTAGCTGCCTCGGAAAGACGTGCTGAGCAGGCAGCCAACCAGGGAAGGCAGGCAGCACCCTGGGCTCCCCAGTGCCAAGGTGGAGCTCACCCTGCTCCGTACTGGTGATGGCAATGGCTTGTTCCCCACCCTTGCATTTCAGAAGTCAGCTCTGATGGGCGAGAGCGTTCCCTCTCCCCTTGTTGAGGACCACCAGCACCATGGTTCCCCAGATGGGACAAAACAAGCACCTGTTCATGGGCAGGGAGAGTTTACTGCTCACCCTGTCCTCCAGAGCTGCTTGTAAGGGCAAAGCAGGATCAGCAAGTTGCCAGGCAGCCAGCTGCGAACCCACCACAGACCAGGGAGGGTGGGGGCACAGGCACCAACATGCAGACACCCAGAGAGCAACACCTGGAAACACCCCAGGACGCTCAACACAAGGAGGAACCGCAGCACAGTCAGTGGTGCCTGTGCCCTTACCCTGCAGAGACACGTTCTGCCTACAGGCAAGGACAAGCTGCTGCAGCCATGCAGCGAATGCAGCCTACGGCCCATGTCCTCCCAGCTCTGTGGCTCTGACACAGGAGAGCAAAGCCTTGCTACTCGCCAGACACCCCTGGTATGATCCAATGCCAACAGCAAGACTTGGAGCTGCCTGTGATGATGTTTGCCACGACACAGCCGGTGCAGCTCCCTTTGGAAAAAGGGCATTTATTTGCTCAGCAGCCAGTTCCAGCTCATGCGAAGCAGCGAGCTGCACAGGAACCAACTGCCCAGCAAAAGCAGCTGAAGCAGCAGCATGTCCCTGAGAACACGGTCAGGCCCCATTTTGGAAATGCGAGTTTGCAACTTGTTTTCACAGGGAGTTACATCTCTTGTGTCCTGCTTGCATCACCACAGCTTTGAGGCAGCCGTGCCTGCTCCCTTGCCTTCCTACACTGTTTACTCTTCTGGCTCCTCATTGCTCTCCAACCCAGTATCAGTCAGCATCTCATCGTAATTCACGTTACTACTCACTGATTGCAACCGAACACGTTACGTTATCTCCCCAACAACTCCCCTGCTGCCTACAACCTGTGTCCTGCCAGGATCAAGCCATAAACAGAGCTGTTCTTCCTACCCAGGCAGCTCATTTCTCTGCTGCTGGTACCCTGCCCAAATAAAGCCACACTCCAGAGCAGACCACGACCCGCAGGACACAGTCTGAACACACTGTGATGGCACCAAGCAGGGACAAGAGGTCTGACAGGGGTGGAGAGCATTAGTGAGATGCAGCCTCCAGTGTTGCAGGAGGATAAGCTCTCAGGGAGTCAAAAAACGCCACAGCCCAAATTTCAGGTTCATCACAGAGGTGTATTAGCCACATTTCCAGTGCTCTGGAATACAGAGCCTCTCCAACACTGCCTGCACCAAGACATCACACTGTCTCTCAGAAAACTCCTTCCGCGGCCAGAATCCACCCTGACAGCTGGGGCACAGGCTGGCGGGCACACGCCTGCGGCCACAACTTCTCTCTTGTCCGACTTCACTTTCTGGATTTCATGGCTGTGACCACCATCCCTCCCAGGAGGGCTGCGAAGGTGAAGCCCTGCGCCAGGATACGTGCCCGCATCATCAGCTGAGACCGACGGGTGTTGCCTTTCTTGAAGCTGATCAGTCCGTAGGTCAGGACGCCGACAGTGCAGAGGCAGCCTGCGGAGAAGGACGGGGGCACGGCTCAGCGGAGCGGGGCCGGG